GTCCGATTTCGACCAAACTTTACAGAAAGCGCTTAACACATATTTAAGACTTGTTCCGGGCGTCGGAACCAAAATACGAGCCCGATACCACAGTCTTTTAATCAATTTTCATTTCCATTTTCCTTAATAATTTCAGAAAAACAATTTCACAGAAAAATTCTTTTCCCGGGCTCTAGACCTCGGATTTCGACTCCGGCCATATGCCCGAGTTCCATATTCTTCTACGGACCCTCCGGGACCGTCAAATCACGGGTCCGGGTCCATTTACCAAAAATGTTGACCAAGGTCAACTTTAATCATTTTAAAGCCACATTTTGAAATTTTTCACAGAATTTAACATATAATCTTTCCGGCTACGCGCCCGGACTGCGCTCACAAATCGAGGCAACTAAAGGTGAGGTTTTCAAGACCTCGGAAGCACGGAAAAAGAGAGAATCCGGTGATGACCCTTTAGGTCGTCACAGGTTATCAGTGGGAGGAGAAAGGGTTTTGATAGGATAGGTGCAAGATAATTGTTCGGGATCTAACTCTAGATACTTCACTTCTAATGTTCAAGTCAATCTCTCGAATTCACTCAATTATTAGTTCAAACGTTTCTCCTCTCTCGATGAAGTCTTAACCTCACGAGATGAACCAATTTAAAGTACGTGAAGATATGCAAGAATGCATAATGGATTGGTCTTTAGGAAAATCTCTTTCAATTATTCTCCTAACAAGGTTAAATCAATGATTCAACTAGCCTCTTTCGGTTACTTAGAACTCAACCAACAATATAATACAACGATATCACAAGTTATGCCTCTCTCGATGACAAGAACTAGTGGATATAGATGCAACGATTAAATCATCCAAAACGCTTCAATACATAAAACTAGAGTTATAATCCACAAACAATCATCAATACACCAATTCCATCAAACCCTAAAGGGAACTACTCCATAGACATGGAGAAATTCATCACAAATATGATTAAAATATAGGAAAGCATAAATTCGATCCAACCTCGGGTCTTGAGTGAGGAAGGAATTATGAAGTCCTTGTGCTCGTGTTCTTCCAACTCCTCCTTAGCCTCGTTAGGTCTAAAATATGTCAAAAGTCCAAAAAATAACGTTTTACCATATATTTATACCAAGTAGGGTCGGGCCTAGACGAACCATTTCCTACCCGAAATAGAAAAATTACTGTGGGAAAAATACACAGGCGCGCCGCATGGGGCCACATGCTAGCAGAGATCTTCAAGAAGCTCAACAATTCAACAGGCTGCAAAAATACACTACTGCGCCGCACTATGCCTCGCACCCTGCGTCACACTAGTACAAATTTCTCACAGTACGACTCAAATCTTGCGTTTTGACGTCCAGACTTGGTCCTCGACCCCCAAACACAATTCTGGCTTAATCCCTTGGGCTTTTACTCAGACTTCAAAGCTCCAAATATCTTGAATTAGCTCCACAATATCTACATAGCTCGGAATCACTCCTACAAAGCATAAAACACATAATAAGTTCAAAACACTACCGGTTAAAGCTCAACACAAAGAAAGTACAGTGAATTAGAGTGCAATAAGAAAATACGTAATTATAGTCTACCATCACTTAAATATTTTGAAGAGGTTAGGGACTTTATACCTCTTGTTCATGTATTTTGTTTCTGGGTATTAATAGGGGTCAAACCTAAACCCCCACCTTATATATTAAGGTGGCTTTGAGTAAATAAAAAATAAAAAAGGTAACTTAATGAATGAAATAGTAACTACCATGCTATAATAGGTTAAACTATATTGATAGTGTACAAGAATTTTTACGCTATTAATGTATGTAAATTAATTCCTTTCTTTTATTCACTTCTTATGTCGTTTTCTTAATATATTTCATTCGTTGCCTTTAGCATACAGTACGATTTCATGCTTACACCCTCGCTTATTAGAACATCAATTCAGTCTTAAAGTTAAAATGTGTTTGGAGAAATGAAGAGCAGTAACATATCTTCTTTTATCACCAAAAAATGATAATTCGTGTATCATGACAATAATTTTCTCTGTTTTTATTAGCTAATAAAATAAATTCCGCCCCTCTCTCCCACCATGCATGACTATGTTGAAGAAGCTGTTCACTGTCTCGAGGAGCCTACTTAGCTCTCAAGTTACAAAAAGAAAAAAAAAATATTGTCGGGGACCAGACGAGTTTTTCTGTCCGTTAAACCTTTGCCTCTCCCAAAATTTTCTAAAACGCAACTCAAAGATAGATCTAGGATTTGAATATTATGGGGTTCGAATTCGGAATTCATCATAACTCATGTGTTTTTACGGTTTCAAATCTGTTACTGGGAGTAATTTAATGGGTTTTTAACACATATACAGGATCTGCCTCAAAAGCTTAGTCATTTTTCTTCTGGTTGAAAACATCAATTTTCTGACTCTAAAAAAATTAGAACATGTGGAATCTTTTGGAGCTATACTCCAATTAATCCTCAAAGAAGAAAAGATATTTTCTTGGATGAGGAACCCTCAGCCACTCATGCGAGAAGGACAATGAACATATTGTACCATACACATATAGCCCACTAGAATTATATGTTCTAATTAGCTGGAAAGGAATTGCACCACATCACTGTTCTTGAATCTGATCATCAACAGACCAAGAAATTCAAAACCCAACTTGTGCTTGTGTTCCTAGCCTTTCAGCTAACCTCCAAAATCTGGGCTGTTTTTTGTGCATACAGCCAAAAGTATTGCGATTATGGCACATGGGCGCTACATTTTATTCTTTTCATATGCTTGTTAACATCAAAGTAATTAATTAGAGAAAGCGAAAGGTTTCACTTTTAGTCTATATATGCGACTTAGTTCTGATTTTATTTCCCTAATCAATGTTGTCTAAGATAGATTAAGCTAAATGTAGACCTTTTGCACCAAGGCTTTAAAATAAAAAATAAATCTTCATCCACATACGATACTTAACTATCCTACAAGCAACTTTGAGTCCTTTATTGTAACGGCTTCCTTCATAATGTACAATATCTGGAGAAAAAAGCGTCAGGATCATGCGAACCCATGCTTCTCTCCCTGAACCATATATAATAATGTTATATTTTTTCAAAATTACTTAAATATATGTGCGTGCACCCATGCTTAAATACACATGTGGTGCGATTATTATTCGTTGCACCTCTACAGGTGTAATTTACAGTTCAAATCCCGTCTTGTTTTGAGACGAAGTATATGTGCGCTTGTGTGTGTAAAAATCACTAAAATTTCAAAAAGAATATAATTTTGAACCTATAATTTCAAAAGTATAGTGGGTTCATGGTAAGAGACTAAAGTTAAACCCGTCACATGTAAATTTTAGAACCACGTCTTTACAACAGTGCACCTATCCTCTTAATATCCTGAATCCGTCGCTGGATAAAATCGCTCAATGAACTGGCAACTCTACTGATATGATAAACAATTATAAAGTGGCCATAATAATGGGATCAATGTTGGAACAAAACATTATTTATTCTAGAAAACTACCTTTGAGCCCTACTTGTTTTTAGCTTTTCTCCTCGAGACCTACATTATTTAGTTTTCAATTTTGAGATGGTGCTTAAGGGAATGATAGGCAATTGGAAATTAGTAAGTTTGCAAACTTCGTTTGGTTAATTACTATCATCCCTTGAAGTACTAAACTAGCTTCTTTTTGGATAAAATGGAAGTTAGAGGACTAAAATGTCATTAGGGATGGCAAATGTTGAGCTTCTACTTGCCTTTCTCTCGGGTAACTTAATTGGTGGTACTCAGTCCAACATTAATTTACTCCCTCTGTTTCAGTTTATGTCAACCTATCTTTTTTGGTCCATTCCAAATAAAATGATCCATTTCTAAATTTGGAAACATTTAGCTTAAGTTTATAATTCTACTCTTAACGAGAAGCTTTTATAATCACACAAATACTATGAGCCCCTTTTTAACTTGTTTAATACCATAAATTCCAAAAGTATTCATTTTTTAAAACTCCATGCCCAGTTAAATAAGTTCACATAAATTGAAACGGATGGAGTATTTATTATAACAAAGTTATAAAACTAAATTTTATAATGAAATAATAACTCAACTACGCATTTATATCACATAAAATAAGAGAGACATGAAAACACTAAATCATGTCCCAAAATATAAGCAGGCTGCCACTCCAACGATTTGGGTTACATAATATCCATGTAGTATGACTTAAAAGTTAAACAAAAAAAACCCCACTTTAAAAAATGAAACACTAATAATGTGCCACGTGGTGAATAATATCGGTTAGGTTTGATCAAAAGATGGTTTTTTTTTATTTGATGTGGTTGCACGTGAATATTATGTAAGGTGAATTGTAGATATGATTATACTTATAGTGCAATTTTATACACGATATAGCTATCTACTTTCTATTTTTGGGGACCATATTTATCATTTTAAGATGTTTTAGTTACGTTGTAATATATACGTAGTTGAGTTATTATTTTTACTGCAAAACTTAGTTTTACAACTTTATGCAACCTTCCGTGAAATTACCGGCCGCTAATTATAATGAACCAAGATATATAGTGACTAAAAGAGAAGAAAACATTATTCAAGACATGTATAGGATACCCCTTCACTGTGATGAGAATCTAATTCACAGTGAGCTCTCAAAAATTAAGGAAAAAAAAACACAGTTCTAGATTCAGATAGAAAATTAGAATAATTCATAAAACAAGAACCTACTTGTTCGGAAGCGGAAAGAACGGATGAACCGCGAGTGGAATTACTAGTCGGCGGTGGTTGTCACGGTGTGTTGGAGAAATCCCCTATATCACAATCTAAACCCCTCGTCTGATTTGGGAGAAGAGAGCGTGGAAAATTACTGCTTAAAGTATCTTTTAATGTACACTATAAGTGTAGTTATATAGAAAATACAAGGGTTAACTAATAACCCTTTATGGGGGGACCAAAATTTCCTACACATTTGTTTCAAATCTATAAATACCCTTTACTTGTTGCATATATCTGCATCACTCACTACTTGAGCAAGAAAAAACACCACTTGAACACAACAATGGCTTCCAACAATACTTTTCCTAGTGTTGCTCTTTTCCTTTGCCTTAACCTCATCTTGTTTTCGATGGTTTCAGGGTGTGGTACTTGCCCTAAGCCAAAGCCAAAGCCAAAGCCTTCATGTCCTCCTCCTCTTTCTTCAGAAACAGCTACATGCCCCATTGATACCCTTAAGCTTGGAGTGTGTGCTGATGTTCTTGGATTGGTGAATGCTGTTATTGGGTCACCCCCAGTCACTCCTTGCTGCAGCCTTCTCTCTGGTCTTGCTAATGTTGAAGCTGCTCTCTGCCTTTGCACTGCTATTAAGGCTAACATTTTGGGCATTAACCTTAATGTTCCTATTTCACTTAGTTTGCTTCTTAATGTTTGTTCTAAAGAGGCTCCTTCTGGCTTCCAGTGCTCTTAATTATTACTACTCAACATTGTTATAGTCTGTCTTATATTCAATTTTCTTATATTTTCTTGGAGATACTTTGAGATGGAGTTTGAAGATATAGATTATTGTACCTATATATGTATTGCTAAAATGGGAAGCCTTTCACTTGCCATTTTCAAAGTTCTTCCTTAATTATGTTGATATGCCATTTTCAATTTCATTTCCTACAGTCTTATTGTTACCAAGTGTGCTTTGGGTTGAGACTTTGAGGTTCAGTAATTAAGTAACCAACCTGGAAAATGCCATGGAAAATAAGATTCCATTAATTTCATAGAAACTTTGAGGGCATTTGGATTATGACTCATTTTAGTATGTCTTACTTTCAATTTAGATGACACATTTTTCTTATTAGTCTCTTTAAAAAAGATTGACGCATTTTTACAATTGAAAATAATTCAACTTTAAACTCTTCATTTTACTAATTTATCTTTAATGAGAAGCTTTTATAACCACACAAATGTCATGGCCCATAAAGTTTTTACCCCTTATGCTACCACAAGTTTCACGTCTTACTTTTTTTTCTTAAACTTAGAGTCGAGTCAAACTAACTCATCTAAATTGAAACAGAGTGAGTAAATGATTTTCACCACAACGTCTTTGCATATTTAAGTGTTTAATTGCTTCCAATTAATTGCAACTTCTTTGCTTTAAGCAAAACAATAAAACCTGGTGTTATTTGTACATCATAGCTTTTTACACTTTCGAATTTAAGAAAATGATCTTTTTAGATCTCTTATGTGTAAAAGACAGATCTCTTACGTGTAAAAGTAAATCTACTGTGTGTAAAAAAAAAAAAGTTAGGATCATAAAACTAAAAACAAATTCGTAAAAGCCAAAAAACCAATTGAATTAGAAGAAATTTTATTTCATTATTCATTTTCTATAAGAAATATACCAATCCCTTTGTACGTACTGTAATATTTACATACAACACTCAAAAGCATTAATATGACCTAAAAAACACCCGTGACACAATTAGGTACGAAACATCTAATGGGAAATGACATCATCCACATGATGGGCCTTTACGATTTCTCCATGACCTATCACTCTCTACTTTTTACATCCTTATGACAAGTGAAAAGAATTCCATGTATATGCTAATTTTTTGGCACCCATGTAACCCATATCAATGAGCATTGGCATATATAGTCAGAAATTTTTTCAAAATTTAAAAGAAGGGAAATTTTTTTTCAACAAAGAGTGTATACTATATGTTATATACCCCTAAAAGTTAATATTTTATCTAATACACAATGTAATTTTTCAATAAAGGATGGTCAACTAACCATCCTTAGGACAATATAGCTTCGCCCCTGCCAATGAGCATGAACTTTTTAAAAATCATATAAAATATTAGCAAAGAATATATTTTGAACTACATACAAAAAAAGTTAAGAGGAAAAAATTTAAGTTGCAGAAAATGATATACTTCCTCATCTCCAAAAAGATATTTTTCAAATTTTGAGAGTTTCAAACTTCTCAGTTTTAACAGTAAATTCGAATATAGAATCTTTAAGTTTTTCTAAATAAAATTTACATATTTAAAAACTACATTCTCAATATTCATTCTCGTGTCATCTACCTTTTTTTTTCGTTGAAACTTTTTTTTAGCTTTTCAGAATTCTTTTCTATTTCATTTTTATTCTATTTTCTTTTTTGGTTTCTTACAGGAAAATTAATATATTTTTGTCAATGAGAACATGAAAAAGTATATTGGTGACTTGGAAATTAACTTTGGAGAATCAGAAAAAACTTTTAAATAGATATTACAAATTTACAAGCAAATTATAGTTTTGTGTCATATATCACTGGAAAGAATTGTCATTGTTGTAGTAAAAGCATCGCTTAAGGCTCTCAAGTAGGAGTAGTTAGTATTAATGCAGATATTTACAGAGAAAATCCAGCAACAAATAGCTATTTTTTGGTGTTCCTTAGAAGTACAAAAAAGCATAAATCAGAATTCAGAGGAAATAGTTCTCCATTTTACATAATATTAAGAAAAAGCAGAATACTATACAGATCATGAGTTAGAAAATATTAGAAAAAGCGGCCAATCAATTTGTCGCTCAAACACATAAACAGACTACATTTTAAAAGCTTGGAGGTTATGGATCCCTTATATTAGACCATTCATAGGATCCGCCACTTCATTATATGTGATAAGAACTTTTCCCTTCGTAAACTGCTAAATAAATTAGAAAAGTAATAACTTCAAGAAAAAAAAAGTTGAAACCGGAAGAAAAACTAGAAATCGCAACATGTACAAAACTAAGAGTTTACAATCTACCCACAAGGGTTGTGGTGGGGTGGTAAGTACTCATTCATCCTTAATCAAAGGTCTCGAATTCGAGTCTCTGGGTATGGAGTCGCCTTTGTTAAGGAGCGCTTTACCCATGTGGGACTTCCCGACGCGAATCCAAATTAATCGAGCCCCAATTTGAATACGGGATACCGGGTGAAAAATCGAAAAAAAAAAAAAAAGTTTACAATCTTGTAAAAGAGACTTTCACTTTTTAAGTTGACCGTAGTTGATTGATCGATATATAAAAAAAATTTGGTAGTGACTTTTTCCATTCTTAGAAATAAAAAGAATTAGATCTTCATGAAAGAAGGTCACTATTATAAAATAGGAAAAAGTTGTATTAATACTAAACTCTGTGAATGTTTCTTGAAAGTAAGATGGAGAAACCAATGGTATCCATTTCAATTATGCGTATCTAATCGCCTATAAAATTCTAAGCATCATCAAACTTTGATTTGGTCCTAATATAATCATATCTCTCGATAACCTCATCCCTATATAACAGTTATTTACCATAAAAGCTGAATTTTTCTCAAATTTAATCACATTTATAGCAGAACGCTTTTTGTTAAATTATCACTCTATAATAGCCATATAAAATCTTTAAGATTGTTAATAATATTCTAAAAATATGCACCAATCTTTTTCACTAAACAAAGTTTCTATCTTGCATAAGATATATGATTTGAAGATTTGCACACGATATCTTTTTCATTAGACAAATTTCAAAAAATAGTTAGATATAGAATTAATTGTTAAGCTCTTAGATTGTCTTCAAGGAAAAGCTATTGGATACCTTTCTGCTGAAAAATTTGGACATGAATCTTCACCAATTCAAGCGTTATATCGCTAGTAATAGAATGAAATCTATCAAACAACCTACTATTACAAAGTTCTTCCCATCAATCTTGAAAAAAATTATTTTTTAAGTAGCTTTAAAATGTCTGCCTTAGAGTTTAAATCTTTATACTTTTAGCTATGAATTTATTCTTAGTGTATTAGCTTTCTTCAATATTTAACTAGTGAAATATGCATATCTTTTGAGATTTTAAATTTGAATAATTGTGTTATCTTTTATCTATAACATTAAAAAATCAAAACTATGATTGATTTCTAGATAATTTTTATCGATAACAGCCAAAAAGTATTTAGAAATCAAATGTTGTTATAGGTATATATTATCCATTCACTATAAAAGCCAAAAAAATAGGTTGTTATAGATAGGATTGACTGTATTTACTTTCTTCTATTGAAAGAGTACTTATAAGGAAAATGAATGATAAAATTAAGGGTGTGTTTGGTATGTAGAAAATATTTTCCTGGAAAATGAGAGGTTATGTTGTATCACTTATTTTCCCTTGTTTGGTGCGTGAATGAAAAACTTTTTTCGAAAAAAAATTTCTAGTGTTTGTTTAGAGAGTATAAAGTATTTTTTAGGAAAATAATTTTTTATCCTACTATCCTTACCCCTCCTCCTTCTCCTCCTCCTCCCTCATATCCTCATGTTTCCTGTGCAACCTCCCCCCCCCCCCCCCAAAACCCCAAAAATCCAACTTTGAGGACTCTATTTTCTACGAGAGTTTTATAATTTTTTAAAAAAATCTGTCACGACCCGGAATTTCCACCTTCGGGACCGTGATGGCGCCTAACATTTCACTTGCTAGGCAAGCCAACGTTAGAGGATCTTTAAGCCAATTTTAATCAATTCAAATAAGTAAAACCAATTAAACCGAAATGAAACTAAAACGGAGTACGAAATGACATAAAGACAAATAATATCTATGTTAAAGCCAGATCTGGAGTCACAAGTATACGAGTTTCTAGAGTCTCTACAAATAGGGTTTAAAATAAATACAACTGTCCTGAATAAAAAGAACAGTAAATAGGGGGGTGGAAGGAGACTTCAGGGTCTGCGGACGCCAGCAGATCTACTTTGAGTCTCCAAATGCTAATCCGAGCTGATGCACCTTACATACAGCTCGGGCCAATACCAAAATCTGTACAAGAAGTGCAAAGTGTAGTGTGAGTACAACCGATCTAATGTACTCGGCAAGTGTTGAGCCTAACCTCGATGAGGTAATGACGAGACTATGACAGGACACCCACGTAATTAAACCTGTACATACATACAGCATAACAACAAATAAAGATTTAACATGTACTATTGGGAGGGGACTTGCAAAAAGGGGGTACAAGATACGGTAACTACAAATAACATGAAACAGTCAATAAACCTTCAGCAAATGAAGCAGATATACATAATGAATAAAAACTGCACGGCATTACCCTTCGTGCTTTCACTCTCAACCTCACCATGAAACAGTAATAATGTCACGGCATCACCCTTCGTGCTTTTACTCTCAATCTCTCCATAAAATGATAAACACGGCACGACATCACCCTTCGTGTTTTTACTCTCAATTTCATCATGAAATAATAGATACGGCACAGCATCACCCTTCGTGCATTAACTCTCAACTACGACATGACATCACCTTTCGCGCATTAACTCTCAAATACGTCACAACATCAACATTCGTACTTTAATACACTCCCTTACCATGTAACAATGAACATATAATAATAGGAGATAGAATAACCAAGAACAGACCTTACGTCAACAATGGTACCACAATACCAATGATCACGGCAACAACAGTTCCACAATACCACATCCCCGGTAACTGTAACGATCCGGCCGGTCATTTTTAGAATTTACGCCCCGATCCCCTATTAAACGCTTTCCCCGTATTCATTTCTGCTATTTTGAATTGCCGGGATGTTCGATTTTGAGTTTTGGAGAGTTTTGGGACACTTAGTCCCTAAATAAGAGCTTAAGTGTTGGAAATTTAACAGTAGTCTGA